GGACACACGTGTTCCAGGAGAAAATGACGTTTCTCACAAGGAAACAAAGGACACAAAAGGAGGTCTGTTCATGATTAGTCATGGACCCTCTTGGAAAGCAGACGCATAAAATTTTACGATGTTTATGGCGACTCGAGAAAAATCAACAGAAACCCGATATTATTTCAGAGTGTTTATTCCTATGTTTATTTCAACGGTCTATATTTTCCTTTTCTTCCAATGGACCTCTATATTCGAAAATTGAAATAATGCATCGTTCTTCTCCGGAAAACACGTGCCCCAAATACGCAGTATAAAATAAAAGAAGGATAAAATAATTATTTAAATTCAATTATTCTGATCAGACTAATATTTAAATTGCCCGCCAGGTGTGCATAACGCCACCTAGTTACGAAGGGCCAGCGACATAACAGGGAGATTCTGAAAATTATGTCCTATCAATGTTACTAGGAGGACAGTGGCGCCTTTTTGAACTAACGAGCGCCAAACTTCGAAATGTGGATCCGTTAGCCGCTAAACCTCTGATGAGGACTCCGTCGATGTTGACACGTTCATTTTTGGATAAATGGGTTGAAGGTTTATTCCAGAATAAATCAAAAACACCAGTGCTTAAGAGAGCACATTAACACTATTTATTTCAAACTTCTGATTTAAACTTGAAAGCTTTGGTAGACAAATACACTTGATAAAACCTTTATGGAAAACTTTAAGAAAAACTAATCGAAGAGAGACGCTGGAAAAGTTGTCGGAACAACAGCCACGATGGGACTGACTCTATTTTAAACTAAAAATTTAAGGGTTGGGTCCATACACCCCCACTAGACCAAAAGTTGCGCGCGCAATCTTGGCCCGGGGGAAAGGGAAGAGGGATAATTTAAGAGAGAAATCGGCAAGCGCAAGAGGGAGAAAGGGGAGCGTGTGACGTCAACAGTTTTCCCTCTTGAGGGGTCACAGGCCCTTCAGCTCCGCGATAGAATCACTGATCTCTATAATAACTGGATAGCTAATCCCTATGCTCCCACCACTCTCAAAGTGAGGCGAATTGAAGTGTCAGCCAGCGCTGCCGTATAGTAGCTCAGGTACTAAAGATGACGTCAGTGCGCATGCGCGCCGCAGTGGGGGCCACGTGCTCGGAAAATTGCCGTGGAAACATTCTCCGTCCCAAATTGTAAATAATAATTGAAAAGGGTAAAATTAGTATAGTATACTCAATCAATAAATTCCGATCAGTCTAGGTGTATTATAGTTTAATAAATACAAAAAAATTTTGAACGAATAAATTCAGTTGAATATTTATTTTGAGTTTCCCAATTTCCTGAATACATTAATTTCTTTAAAGTAGCTCATCAGTAGGCTACAAGTTCATACTGACTATACTATAGATGTCAAAATTTTCAATTATTAAATTTTTCCATTAAATTACGTGAGAAAATTTATAAAAAATTTATACACAATCAGCATCATTCATATTACATTTTTCAACATATTATATTCTTTTCAAACATCTCCGTTTTATAAATAAATAATGGACATTGTTTAAAAAACGGTCATTCATGTTGTATAGTGTGTCAAAAAATTTATTGATTTTTTTTCATATTTTGAGTCAAAAATTCCGATTTCCATCTTTCTTTACAACAAAGTTATGGACTTTGACACAAGACAGTGGGTTAAATCCTGATTTTTCAAAATTGATTTTTTGAAAAAACTAAAACGTCAATTAAATCTAGCAAAAAATTACGATTAAAAAAATCTAATAACATTCTTTGGCGATTCTTTGTAGTTTTTAAAAATTCAATTTTTTCAATTATTAACGATTATATAATTCATTAATAATACAATATTAATAACAATTGTACTAATTTCGACACTCCTCCATGCTTCGGCTTCCTTTCGCGTTTATAGACAATGTCTATTTTCACTGATTATTAACAAAAGTTCGTCTGTTATTCTGGATGTCCTACACNTTTACCACTGCCCCACTACCTGCAGCTGACACGGACATGCGCACTAGAGAGAATCTTAGTTCGCTGACTACTATCCGGAGGCGCTGCGTACCTCTCTAATAAATTCACTGGCTGCCATAGGGATCGGCTATCCAGTTATATAGAGATCAGTGGATACAATGAACAAAGGAGAACTCAACACTCAACACGTGTGGAACACGTGAATCAGAGAGACTTTCTAAATATCTCAGAACCGAGATTTAACAATTTTACGACCGTGACCGTCGAGTTTATTTTCTCTCTAAATTTCTGAATTTCAAGAAAAGTATTCTTGTGAGGAATTTTGGAGAGCTATAAATTTACGATGTAAACTCAAGTACTTGACATTTATTATTTCCGGCAACGGTTTTTCTCACGCCTGCGAAGTTGTTTTTCGTCCTTTGTTCATTGTCCTTTCATTCTCGACTTTTCTCAGTATTTAAAGATTTTACGTTATT